TCTACATATTATATATATATATATATATATATATATACACACACACACACACACAAACACACACATATGAACCTAATTATTAAGCTTGAAACCAAGAACACTAATCTTGAATGTACCACTCCAAAACTAAAATTTATTTTTCCGCACCTGATAGTTTGTAACACAGCGGAAAATGCTAGGTTGAACTAGAGCCTAAACTTAAGGATAAATTTAATAAAATTAATTTCCCCTAACTTAGTAGACCATCCAATACGCTTAGGGGGTTTAGGAGTCAAGGCCTAATAGAGGAGTTCCAATCAAAAGGAGCAAGCCAAGGCAAAAAGTCAAGGATTCCCCATACATGGAGCTAATGCCTTAAGGCTCAACGGCCACCACTACGGCTCATGGTCAAGACCACGGTTAATGGAAGGCTCTGTGGTGTTTCCTTGTCCAATAGATAGGAGCCCCAAGTGTCCTAGATACTGTGCCAACCCTCACGATGGGACCACAGATTGTGGTCCACTCCACGACTCGTGAGGTGGACCATGAGACTCGCTTAGCTTTTTTTTTTAGGAAATGGGGCATTTAGGGGAGATACCCAAAGCACCACAGGCACCATAATAGACCGTGGTGCACTTGACAAGGGGAAGGGGGCTCGTGAACATGACTTGGTTTTTTAGAAATTGGCAATCTTGAAGAGGATATTGCCTTAATTCTCATGACAATCACCACGAGTCGAGGTTCTCAATACGGCTCGTGAGGCGTGGATTGTGAACCTGGACGAGTTCTTTTAATAAAGGTTAGTGTAGTCTGTTACTTTTGAGTCCAATATATGTGTGAGTGTTTTGGATGGTTTATGGGTAAAATATAAATAGGTTTTAAAGTCTTTTTCATCCATTTACATGACTCAAACTCAATACTTCCCAAAACAAATTCTCTCAAATATTTCTCTCTATACAAATTTCCTCCATTGAAGAAAACAAAAAGCTTCAAGGATAGGGTTCAAGCTCCAAGATTTCCATCTCAATTTTTTGGTAAAGCTTCAAACAAGGTATGGGAACTTTCATTCATGAGATTTGTTTTCCCATGAAGCCCTTCCTCTACTATTTTTGAAATTGGAAGTTTGTTCAAAATTAGGGTTTCGATTCTTACCTTAGGTTCTTCTCAAAAACATTTTATTTATGTTGGTTATCCTATATTATAATGAAATTGAAGTTTAATTAGGGTTTTTATTGTAAAATTTCCCTTGAACCCATGTGTTTTCCCATTCACTCAACTTTATGAAAATTATGATGTGGTTTCTTTGTGAATTATGAATATGTGGGATAGTATGTATGTGGATTTAGTAAATAAATTTTTTTATTTTTCATACTTACAGTAGATATTCTAAGCATGATTTCAAGATATGGTCTATGACCCTTGAAACGAAAATGGTAAGTGTTGAATTTTGAATTATTGTCTTGAAGGCAATGTATGAGGGTAATCCAATGTCCATGATTCTTATATATAAATGGTTTGATCCACTTTAAAGCTGGAGGTGCTTACTTTTATGTATTTATGTATAATGTTAAGTTCCACTTGAATGGTGAAGATATAATGACTAAGTTGTGAGATATGGTATAGTTGAAAGACTAGTTTCCTTTAGTATTACACATGACTATGTATTAATTGTCTTAGATGGTTATATGATGATTCTTAGTTGAAAGGTAGTTCTCACCATGTTGAATCCATGATCTATGTATGAGTTTGGTTGAATGAAGAATAATGTACTCCTTCACATATGAAATTACAATTCACCTTAACCATGTAAAAATTTGAGAATAATGCTTAGCACCGAGTGGATATGGAAAATGAGGTAGAGACCTTCCCTCTAATTTAGGTTAGGTCTTTTACATATGCTCTCCAGAGTGGAAACCCTCCCACTAGTTCAGTAGGCCGTGTTTGTAGAAGCAATCTCTCTATTCCATAACTATGTGCCCGCATAGGTCGTAGCTAGTGGATCAATATTAAAACTATATATGTTTAATTATCTTTGCAAAGAAGGACACCTTCTTTCAGTGTGGGGTTATATTATACCGAATTCCATGTAGGTCACATTGTCTAAGGCAATTCTCTCTATGTAATAAGATAATGAATATGACTTGAACCATACTTGTGATTTCTTCATAAGTATATGTAGTAGGAGTGGGGGTATGAGACTTCACTTTTTACATTGCATGAGTAATCATTGAAGTGGATTATGGGTGGATCCATGATGCTATTATAAGAAATGAAGGTATGATATACGTTGATTGGGTTGTTGGTAAGATATGACTCTCCTTATGTACATATGATGAACATGGTTATTCACTTATGTATGATTTTGGATTATGATGGGATCTAAAGTTGATATGTGTAACTAAGGTGATTCTAAATAGATACTTAAATAGTTGGGTATCTAAAGTTAATATGTGTAACTAAAGGTGATTATAAACACAAGTATACTTTTAGGGTTGCTAAGGTGATGGTCCTACTATGTTATGAAAAGTCATATGAGAATGCTATTATGACTTGTATTATGTCGTTATGAGCATAAATGGTTTTCAAGCTTAATAAATGCATGATTTTCACGAAAATGTCCTTTTTAGAAAAATTAGGTATTTTTATCCATGTTTCCTGACTTAGTGCTTTTGTACTATGCCCTTCTCTTTTACATCTCCTACGAGTGTAGGTTCAGGCCATTGAGGTGCTCTTAGTCCATTCTTTAAGAAAACATGGGTTGCTACCTCCAAGTTTTGGTGAGTCCACAATGTGAGGATGATATGTTATTGATTATAGTTCTCGTTTACTTTCCTTTTTTGGACATGCTTCTATGTATTTTTGATGTATTTTATGTGGATTAACAACTAATTTGAGGTGGATAATGCACCTAATGTATTTAATAATATGTTTTCAGAGATGAAATCTAATTTTTGTATTCTGTTGATTTTGAATGATATATGTAAAACAACTGAAGTGTGCATTTTCAGGTTCATAATTAGCCAAGATATGTTTATGAACTTTTTAAATACTCAAGTAAATCCATTATACTCATGTAAAGATGTATAATATTTTAAATATATTTGGAATCTACAATGATGCTTGAAAATAAAGCCTACTTTTATATTAACCTCTCTTATGATAAGACCA